AAATATATAAAATAGAAAGCTCAGAGGCAAAGAGGGCAACTATTTCATTCATATAAGTGGTTTGATGTTTTATTATGTAATATTTATATTTCAGGTGGAACAAATGAAAAAATTGACTCTGAGAATCCTTCACCATTCATAACTTCATCACAAAGTGTACCATCCAGATTACACGAACTTCGTACTAGTAGAGATCCTGCTTCCTCGCTCATTAGTTCACCAATTCGTCAATCTACTCCTAAACCTAAAACAGATGTTAAATCTTCTAAATCAGAAACTAAATCTCCAGGTCTATCAAAATCTAAAGAGGAGGTAAACTTACCTTTAAGTTTTATGTTGTTTTAATAAGAGTTCTATACTGCAGGGCTACATGTGTATAAGCCAATAACATAGGATTTAATTTCTAATCTATTGATGTTCATACATAAGGAAATAAACTGGTGCTTACATGTAAAAATTATTTAGATTATTTTATGCTTTATATTTCAGCTAAAGAAGAAAGACTCTGATGAAGCATTATTTGAGTTTTTAAACAGTAAAGATCCAGTAGAGAGTAATAAAAGAAAAACACCAACAGGAAGTCAACAACATTCACGACAATCTAGTACATCTTCTATTGGTAAATCATTAAAATCTCTTGATGTTCCCACTCCAGTTACTACTTCTATACCAGTATCAGTTACAACAGGTTAGTCTTTCGTTAATATCTCACAGTTTTTTATAACTTGTTGTTTTAGGATAATGTCAGGTTATGAATATGTTTATTTGGTTAATTTTTTTTTTTTCAATGATTATAGCTCATGATATTGTGTGATGTACTGATTCAAAACCAACTTGAATTCTTTAATGAAATATGTCTGAAAAATATAGGCCTATCAGTATAATTGATTGTAGGCATTTATATTGCAGTCAAAACTATGCTTTATGCGCCATGTTTTGTCTTGGAAGTAAAATAATTCAGTATCATTGTTGTAAGAGTGTTGAGTGTTCTTGAAAGTGTAAATTAAATTTTAATTGCAGCTACAGATTCACGTCAAGAAAGTCCAACAGGTTCACATGATTCACCAGATATAGATGTTTTAGCTGATGCTTTACATGAGAGTCCAGCTGTTAGTGTTCATAGTAGTCAGGAATCAGATAATAATCATACAGAATCTACTCAACATATCTCATCATTAGAACTAGAGAATAGACTGTTACGCAATGAAGTTTCTTCTCTTAATACTGAAATGGCTTCATTACTAGCCAGATCTAAAGATTCTCAGAAAGGTGGGTAACATAATAGAATCGTATTCAGAATTTAAAACAAAGAATATAGATAAAAATAAACAAAGAGTTGTTATTTTGTGAAAATCAAGCTAACATAGAAATGGCCTCATGTGCAATAACACATAAAGATACTCTATTGCATTATATATTAACTTTTAATCTTAGAATGTTGTATGTATTTATTTTTTGAATAATTATAATAGTTAATATATTCTCCTCTTTTCAAGAACTTGAAAATACAAAGAAACAAATCCATTCTTCAGCATCTCAGAATGATCAGATAATTAGAGAGTTACGTGCTAGAGAGAATGATTTATCTGAAGCTCTAACAGCTAAAGATTCTCAGTTAGCTATTTTACGTGTTAGATTAGAGGAAGGAGATAACTCTGTTACTAATTTAAAACAACAAATAGATGAATTACAATTGCAGAGAACAAGGTTAGTTTCAACAACATGCTCATCGTGTGTAAGATTCTGCTCAATTTATTTCTTGTTTACTAAAGGTTTGAGTTAGAGTAAATGGCCTGAAAGGATATTCTGTCCCCTGTGCTGTTTTATATTTCTGGTGGTATAAACCATAAAGTGTTTTATCTCCAGAAATATCCTTATAATGTTAGCTTAGATTTTGTTATCCAAACCATATATGTATTCAAGCTCCAAGAATATTTGACCTCTATATGTTTACTTAATTATGATACATTATAATGTTGGTATTAATTTGTTTTTGGTAGAATATTACAAGATCATACAGATTCTAGTGGTATGCACAGTCAGGCTCTAGACTCACTGAAAGAAAAGTTAATTGAAGTAGAAGCAGCTTTAAAAAGAGAACAAGAAGCATATAAACAGTCTCAGGTTGGAATTTCTTGTACAATTATAATATTGACTGAATAGCATGAAATTAAAAAAAATGAAATTTAAAGCCAGACTGGTTTACTCCACTCATTGTTTATTTTTAAAAAGGATAGAAACATACTTGCTCCAAGTAAGATATGATGGGATGAAGATCCGCCACTACTGTAAATAGGTTACTAACATCCAAATTTTATTTTCACAGCAAGAAGCTACAGATAGACAGAGTAAATTAGAACAAGAACAAAAAGCATTGGCAGATGCATTAACACAGGCAGAAAGAAGGGCAGCTGAAGAAAAAAGTATGTTTAGAATATCTGACACTTTGTAATGGTTTTACTTAATTGCTGGGAAACGAGATGTAATTTTTTTAGTCTAAAGTAGTTGGAATAACTGATAATTAGAATATTATATCCCCTTTCATCTTCCTAAATATTTGTACATTGTTTCAGATAAGACACTAGAAGTAAATAATCAGTTAAAATTAATGAAATTAAACTTAGAAACAAGTAGACTAGAATTAACAGATTATAAAGATAAAGCTTCAAGAATTCTACAGGTAATTTACATCTTTAAAATATGGTCAAATCAACAGTCCTGCATTAAAACAATACATTACTTATATGTACAAAAACGTTTATGATACCATATATAAAGAATTTCTAGTGTCTAAAAATGAGTTTTAATAATGTGTAACTAAATAGAAAATAGTTTCTTCAGTGAGATATTACAACAATAACTTAGCATGAACATGTCAAATCTAGAATGAGTTTGGTGTCACTAGTGGAGCTTGTTGATGATATTAATATAATGTATATTTCAGTCTAAAGATAGATTAATATCTAGTTTACGTGAAGGAGGAGCTAGTGGTATAGGAGAAGGTAGTGGTATATCATCTATAGAGTTTGATTCTATTAAACAAGAAAGAGATATGTTAAAAGAAGAATTACAACAGAGTAAAATGTTGATAGAGAATTATAAAGTAGAACTACAGGTCTGTTGTATGCTTTTTCATAACTTTTGTAAACAATGATCCTAGAATGAGAAATATTTGAGGATGATTCAAACAGATGGAATTCATCTACCGGTGAATTTACTGATGAAAAAACTGATTATGTTTTTAATGAAAATCTCATATTTTGTAAATAGATTTTGTAGTAGATTTTCTATATCACTCTACAAATAATTTATTGAGCACTATTTAAACAGTATGATTTTGAAATATGTATATTTATACAAAGTGTCAGATCATGGAAGAGTCCAATAAAAATTTTAGTTATTGTATTTAAAAGTATAATATCTATGACATGATTATATAGTCTGTATTTTCTATGAAATGATTATATAGTCTGTATTTTCTATGGAATAATTACATAGTCTGTATTTTCTATGAAATGATTATATAGTCTGTATTATCTATGAAATGATTACATAGTCTGTATTTTCTATGAAATGATAATATAGTCTGTATTTTCTATGAAATGATTATATGGTCTGTATTTTCTATGGAATAATTATATAGTCTGTATTTTCTATGGAATAATTATATAGTCTGTATTTTCTATGAAATGATTATATAGTCTGTATTTTCTATGAAATAATTTCATAGTCTGTATTTTCTATGAAATGATTATATAGTCTGTATTTTCTATGAAATGATTATATAGTCTGTATTTTCTATGGAATAATTATATAGTCTGTATTTTCTATGTAATGATTATATAGTCTGTATTATCTATGAAATGATTATATAGTCTGTATTTTCTATGAAATGATTATATAGTCTGTATTTTCTATGAAATGATTATATAGTCTGTATTTTCTATGAAATGATTATATAGTCTGTATTTTCTATGAAATGATTATATAGTCTGTATTTTCTATGAAATGATTATATAGTCTGTATTTTCTATGAAATGATTATATAGTCTGTATTTTCTATGAAATGATTATATAGTCTGTATTTTCTATGAAATGATTATATAGTCTGTATTTTCTATGAAATGATTATATAGTCTGTATTTTCTATGAAATGATTATATAGTCTGTATTTTCTATGGTATGATTATATAGCCTGTATTTTCTATGAAATGATTATATAGTCTGTATTTTCTATGAAATGATTATATAGTCTGTATTTTCTATGAAATGATTATATAGTCTGTATTTTCTATGAAATGATTATATAGTCTGTATTTTCTATGGTATGATTATATAGCCTATATTTTCTATGAAATGATTATATAGTCTGTATTTTCTATGAAATGATTATATAGTCTGTATTTTATATGAAATGATTATATAGTCTGTATTTTCTATGAAATAATTACATAGTCTGTATTTTCTATGAAATGATTATATAGTATGTATTTTCTATGAAATGATTATATAGTCTGTATTTTCTATGAAATGATTATATAGTCTGTATTTTCTATGGAATAATTATATAGTCTGTATTTTCTATGAAATGATTATATAGTCTGTATTTTCTATGAAATGATTATATAGTCTGTATTTTCTATGAAATGATTATATAGTCTGTATTATCTATGAAATGATTATATAGTCTGTATTTTCTATGAAATGATTATATAGTCTGTATTTTATATGAAATGATTATATAGTCTGTATTTTCTATGAACTAATTCATAGTCTGTATTTTCTATGAAATGATTATATAGTTTGTATTTTCTATGAAATGATTATATAGTCTGTATTTTCTATGGAATAATTATATAGTCTGTATTTTCTATGTATTGATTATATAGTCTGTATTATCTATGAAATGATTATATAGTCTGTATTTTCTATGAAATGATTATATAGTCTGTATTTTCTATGGTAGGATTTAGAAGGGCAGCTACAACAAGAGAGTGATACAGCCTCAGAACAGATCCAGTCTCTAGAAGATAATTTATCAGAAGAAAAGAGACGTAGAGAAGATAGTGAACAGGAATTATTAAAACAAAAACAGGTTAGTATTGATATATATCTCCCAATTTACAGGCTTTATTAAACTGTTAAGAATTGATTGATGTTTGTTGAGAATTACTGACCAAAGTCTTTATTCAGACCCTGGCAACTGCGCTGGCTAGGTATCTTTAAGACAAGACTACACTCAATACAGACTTGATATTTCTAGACCACAATATTACAACGTGGCTCTTCATCAGACATGAATCTTGGTTTTACTGACTTTACCATGAGTAAACATGATTTTATGAGACAACTATCTCCTAACAACAGTCTACAGATTATTTTTTTTGATTCTTTTCAGGAATTACAATATGCTATAGATGAAATAAATAAACAGAAAACATCATTTCAATCTCAGCTATCAGCTAGAGAATCTGAAATAGATAAACTGAGAAATCAGGTAGGCCTTTATTTGATTCATTTTTAGAAGATTCCTACATTAATTCATGGATAAATTTAATGATGTTTTGCCAATAAGTTTCGTGTTTGCTAATATTGACTCTGATAATGATCAGTGCTCCTATAGTTATTTATGATAAAGCTTTCCGTGAAATAATTGTTTTTATCAGGAAGGCATTAAGAGTTGAGACTTCCTTGAAAGAAGTATGATAACGGAGGACCTGTGTCGACAAGCCAGTTTCTTTTACTTTATGTTGCCTTTAAATATAGTCTTTATAAATGGCATTTAGTTTATACGATCATGTGAAGATTGGAGAAACATGCTAAAATGTGCATAAAAAATATACACAGGTAACTAAGTGTTTTATTTACACATTTCAGTTGATGACTAAAAGTTTAAGTAGTGTATCAGAAACAGAACTAGAATCTCGTGTCCGAGCTTTAACAGAAAGTTTAATACAGAAACAAACAATGTTAGAATCATTAAGTACAGAGAAAAATTCATTGGCATTACAACTAGAGAGATTAGAGGTAAGTTATGTTACAACCAGTTTAACATGTTTACCAGTTTTTAATCTAGAATGAAGTTTCTACATTATTCCTGCAAGATATTAAATTATATATTTACTATCAAAAATGTTTTTATTATCTCTGATTACCTTATCAGTTGATACACATTATATTCAACTGTAGATGGCATTTCTCCAATCGTTTAGGTTCTTAAGATCTACTATGCTCCATTTTTCATGTAAAATTGAATAATGTTATGAAAGCAAAAAAGTAACAGCACGGTTCATTTGGCATTGTATTGTGAGTTATCAATCATGTGATATACTTGTTTATTTTAGCAACAATATCGTGATGTTCAGCTATCAGCAAGATCTGCACCAGCTCATGTTCATATAGCAGATGATGATGATGGTAGGTCCCTTACAATTTATTATATTATAGAAAATAGAATATCTGCATACAGACTTATCTCATAATAAGAACTGAATAATTCTTTTTCAAGCTTTCAAATATCTATTGAATTGTATTATAAGAATAATTTTGTATTGTAATATATCAATTTGATTTCCTCACTAGTTCGTCAGAGAGTACCAACCTTTATGAAAGAAGCTGCTAATGACACTGAAGTTACTAGAAGAATGAAGAGAGCTGCTAATGGTATTGATAGATTTAGGTATGTGACTATTTCTAACAGAATACCACTGCCCTATATTTCAAATGTTTTATGGGGGATTGTAATTAGTTAGTAGTAAATAAGTTTTTAAACAATAAAAAATTCATTCAATAGACTTCTCAGACATATCGTGTTGCTTCACCAGTTGTTATTATCAATAAGAATGTTTGGTCTTTATATTTCAGTATCCGTTTAGGAATATTTTTAAGAAGATATCCAATTGCCAGAGTGTTTGTTATTTTATACATGGTAAGTTAATTTCTTTAATTGAGATATATTAGTAGAGTTTTACATACAACTGATTATGAGTTTTAAAAAGAATCTTCTGTACTCATTCAGTTGTAAGTTGTCTTCAGATTGTTAAGAGCACACTTTTCTTTTATTGAATTATGAAAATATTAAAGCTAATATACAGGTTGTAGACAGTTATTTGTTTTCCAGATTGTGATACACGTTGTTTCTAGGAGTTTGACACTGTGATCTTTAGACAACAGATCTATTTCAGCCAGTGTCACTACTAGTTTAACAAGTATTACACTGTTTTGTTATTTTTAAATGCCTACAAATTATATCAACTATATTGTATTGTACATGTGTGAAAATTAGCCTCATTATTTTAAAAGTGAAAGGAGAAGAGAGATTTTGACTTTTTATCTTTATCCATCAACTATATTTATTGCAGGGTTTGTTACATGTTTGGGTAATGATTGTTTTATTGACATATCAACCAGAAGTTCATGATGCCTCACATTTTCAACCACAACCACCTGGTGATAGATGAGTTATCTCCCTTCTCTTTCTTCTCTGTTACTGTGATATAAGTGGTTCTGTTTAAGGGGGTTTTGTGGTTTTATTGTGAAAATTTCAACTTGTTTTGTGTGGAGATAAATAAACTGTCATGTCCGACAGAAAACATGTCTGGCTGTAACTGTGGTCAAATTATCTTCAGACTGTGGCTTATTTTGCAATAATTCTTCGGTGTTGTGTGTTTAATATGTGCAGCTGAAACGATTCAAAAGTAATGTTTAAATTAGTAATCATAGGTTAAGATGCGTTTTAACAGCAAATTTCCCCCTGAGTAAATTTCAAACTCGTATCACATTACTAGAACAACAGTCTATATATATATCAACACTGTTTGTGCATTGTTGTGAGATTTGACCCAGTTTAAATATGTAACTTTATAGTACTAATTTACTGCTTATTGATACATTATATTTATTAACTCAATCTTCTAAATAGTTGTTTATTTTGCTGATGTAAATGTTATTATTGTAAATAAGATTTATATTTTAATATTATTTTCATTGTAAATGTGTATATATAAGTGGGATTTTAGACATGCACATCCAGTAAAAAACTCAGTCAACAATAGATATGATATTTTAATGGAACAACTTAACTTTCATGCTGCTTCATCTAATGTATATTAGTCTAACAACCGAGAAAGAAAATTAATTTTGAATCCGCAGATTAGCCAAAACATTTGCTAGTGATTGAATCATTGAATACTTCTCATTTAACTTATAATATATGCAATTTTTAAAGCTTCTTGTGACTCTAAATCATGTTATTTAGCAGAGCATTCCTGTTCAAATTATATTAGATTCTATAATCTCAGTTATGAATGATATATAGGAATAAGTTACAACTGAGTGTAGGTGGACTTGAAATTGTTGTTATATATGGTGCAATGTTATTTTATTCAAGATTGTAGAACATTAGAATCTGTTGATGTGGAACACTGTAATTTATAATGGGAACATTGTTGAAGTTTTCAATATTATAAAGGTTATCTTTCATTGGAATTTGTATCAATGTTGGACTTAACTAGTGGAAAAATAAAATACTAAACCTAGATGACTTTTTTGAAAAAGAATATTTCAAGTCACAGTGAAATCTCATCAATCCACCAACCAATTTTAAATCTTATCGAATGCAAACTATATTGTCTTAACCCATTTGTTTTAGAAATGGAATATTAGTATCAAATAGTACTTTGCCTTAATAAAATAATTTATTGGAGGGAAGTTTAAATATTAACTGTCAGAAATTTATATTTTTATCAACGCAAAGTTATTTGAAGACTATCAAAGCTGGTATTCAAATTCACTCAAAAAATCTGTTTAACTCATTTTACAGATGAAAGACATAAGCTTCTATCCTGTACAAATAGGTGCAATCTCATCAATCTGGCAAACCATATTCCAAATCAGATAAATACTTTGCAATTTTGATATTCATCCACAGTAGACATATAAAAAAAACTACAATGAGTGGAGTAACTGTAATAATCTACATAATGATGAATAACAACCTTTCTACAAGTATCAAATACATCAAGATTATATAAGAATTTATAGTGATAATTCATTAGAAATCTTTAACTCTACAGTCTAAATACTGGAAACTACTGCTTGCGTTAGACCAACAAAAGATGTAACAATAATTATTGGTTGAAAAGACTTGGAAATTGCATATTAGAGTAAAAGAGTTAATGCCCATGTTATGAGAGAATACCATGCAACTGTTTTTTATCCTCAACAGTTACTGCAGAATGACAGCAATTCTGAAGAAGGATGCCTATATCAATACTACTTTTACTGTAGCATGTAAACCTTGTACAGTGTATTAGGGTTGTATGAGTAAAGGCAACCTATCTCTAATAAAAATGGTTGATTTGATTGCTTAAAATTCATCTCCTCATCCGAAGTTATTTAGATAAAGCAAACCTCAGTCCATTTATTTAATGATTACATTTAAAGAAACTTCTGTAAAACATAGTGCCCAGTATTCAGCCATAGAAAATTATATATACAAAAACACAACAATAAGATTATACAGTATATTAACAAATAAAACATGCTAATGTAGCATCTATTTGATTGTTTTTTCACACCCTGTCCATAAACAATACATACTACCTTACCCACAATAGTCAACTAGAATAAGATCTCTACACTAAGACAAGTATTTAACATGGTTTTCTCTAGATATCATCAAATTTTCTAAACAAATAGTGCTCTACTGTGACCCTGAATTAGTCTTCCAAACATAGAAGAAAACATCTTGATTCAATAAGAACTAACAATGAAATAGGGAAACTATTACTATTTCTATATCCAATATATTATAAAGGAAATGAAATCTAAACTAAGGAATTCAGAATTTTTCAAATTAATCTGTCATGGATAAGTCAGGATTAATACATAAGGAATATTCTAGGGAATATTTTCTATCAGCATAAAGTTGAGCCCTTCATCCACATAATTTTCACTATTTGTAATGCAGAGTTATAATTGCAAATACATTTATGTTAATTGGAGCTGTATATCATTTATCAATGATATTTTAAAGTTTTGGTTCACATCTGATCTCTCTACTATATTACATGTAATAATAATTATAAGATGATGTAGAACTATTAACTATTTCTAAAGATAGGATTATATATCATAATGTTAATAATAGAAGTTATTATGTTAAAATGATTTTACAGAAATTTACAACAATAATTAATAATATATTCATAAATAAATATCAATAATTGTAAATTGTAGTAAAAAAAAAACATCCAATGCTTATGAGACAATCAGACTGCAAGATTGAGAAGTTATTGGAATTGAAATTTTGCTTGGACAAACACACAATGTAATGGTTGGAATGCAAGATAAAGCTAACATTCGAAATAGAGCATAGTACATAATTTTACTTTTTTCTGGGTTTCATTGGGTAAAAAATTGTCAAAATTGATTTTAAGCAGACAAAAATAGTGAAACATAAACACCTTGGTTTGTTTTTTGTAACTATATCATATAGTCCTGAACTATACAAAGTACTAAGTTAAGTAAGGAAGTATTGAGAAGAACTGGGACTAGGTTAAACAGGTGTCCCTTGATATAGAGAATTATAAAATGTCTTATAAATTAACACAAATCTCCTTCAGCATTCAATGTTTTCTTGACACGTAATAACATAGTGGTAAACCATTGATCTAATCTAGAAATACTGTCATATTCTTTTAAAGCATCAGTAAATGCATCTACATCTTCTTCTTTACATGCATTAATTAATGTCTGAAATAGTAATACAAAATATGTCTCATGCTTTAAGATAGCAAACAATATAACCATTACAGAATATTTGCCAATTGCCAATAAACAATTTATGACAAACACAGGTGTCATTGTTTGATTTTACATGCTGAAAAAATTATAAATAAAAAAAATAAAACAGCACATAAAGTCATTGTAATTTATCTCACATATCAAGTATGACAATATCAATAAATGGTAATCCAAGAAAAATATGCTGAATAAAGATAAATGTATCTTAATAATAATCAACCATATTGCTTACCTTGACTAATTTACATTCTCTAGCATCAGAAAAAGCTGGGAACATTTCTTCATACTTAGGTACTGCTAGTTCAGCATTTACAATATCTACACACATATGACATACAGAAGCTCGGAAAAAATAATCTTTAGCACTGTATTTTAATAATGTATTATCCATAGCTGATATTGCAACCTATAATGTAACAAAATAATAACCATTAGATATATAGTCAAATTATTACATGCACTTGAATCCCAGGATCCTTCAATCAAAATTTCATATCAAACTATAAGCTTACTCAGACAACTTCAAATACTCAACCATACTTTAAACTCATGTGCATTTAAAGACATTGAATTAACGACTGTTTGAATACTTCCTCACCTGTTCATAAATTTCAATAGCCTTTTCATAATTTTCTAACTGAGCTGAGAACTGGGCCACTTTCAATAAACATTTATTAGCTGAACTAAAATAAGAAAAAATAGAAAGTTAATATTGGTGAAATCCACTGGTGGTCATTCTCTAGTCTTAAAAGATATTGATTACTTTCAGAAAGATGGCATTTTGACAATTCAAGCATTTTATCCAGGTAATATTACCAAGTAGTATCTGTAATGGTCATTTAAGTACGATGTACTTCAAAAGGATTGTTACATTAGATAAACTTCAATCCGTTATGTCCTATTATAGTAATTCTATTTTAGTAAAGATTTTTCTTCCATACAAATCATGTTAATGAAACTATCTTACCTATTAGATTCTTCACCTTTATAGTAATCACCAGCCTTTTCATAATTAGCTATAGCCTACAAAATATAGATATATAGATCATTTTTATAGTTTATAATATACCAATTATTAACATTTGAAAGTTAGTTTATCCACAGTGCTCCAGATGGTCAAGTATGCAAGTTTAAAATTGGGTGATACTTTTGATTTTGATTTTTGATAGAGCATTTATACATAAAGATAGAAGTCATACTTTTTCCATATCTGCTAATTCATTTTCATAAATCTCAGCTATAGTAATATGATGTTTAGCTGCTATAGTAAACCTGCCCTGTAAAAACAATAAATAACACATTAGATGATTCTGATATTGGAACAGATACAGTATACAAAATCATAATGAAATCATTTAAATATGGTACACAATTGCCCATAAGAAATCAGATTATTTGTAACATAGAAAGATATTAAGGGAATTTAACCTTACCATGTCTGTGTAGATTTCTATTGCACTATGTAAACATTTGACAGCCTCTGTAATAAAAAATATCAGCGGACATGTTAAGTAATCTTAATTACCAACTGAACATTAGATAATATTGTGAACTGACTCTTTGATATCACTTAAAATCCTTAGAACATTTCATTTCAAAATTATTTCTCTGTATACTTGTACATGAAACAATTCTTTTATTACTGTTATGAAAGAATGTATGTATATAGGCCTACCATTTGGATCTCCTTTTCTATAACAATTTCCAGCATCTACAAAATGTGTGGCAGCTTCATGTTTACTTGACAGTTGTAATTGTAATCTACCAGCTTGCATAAAAGCTTCTCCAGCCGCTGAAATATCAAACATTGTTCTGGTATCAAGATAATATGGAAAGCAATATCAAATACTAACTTTGATAGTTATAAAACTATCTGAGTCCAAGAATGGTAATGATTTTGTATGTCTGGGGGAGTTGCTTTATATTAAAGAATGACAGAATTTGTCATGATTTACTCAAGAGCATCAAAAAATGGCGCACATTATGATTAATAATAATAAAAGAAAAATTTCTACCCTAATTCCAAATGATTTACATTAGGTGCCTACCTGCCCATTTCTTTGCCATTTTGAATGCATTTGCTGCTTTAACATACAACTCTGCTGCATCTTCGGTTTTACTCGATCCACTGTAAAAAGAAAAATAGCTACATGATTCCTGATTAGAATACCAATATTTCAATCTAAAAAAATCTATGACTAATAAAATGAGTAACTTTTCCACACAGTGCTACAGTCTATACAAATTCAACCACCTCTACTTGACTAAATGTAGTGAGAGCCAGTCCGATCTATTATTATTCATTCAATCTTTCACAGGAATAAAGCTGTAAATTAGAAGATGAAAGGGGGGGGGGGGGGGGTTATTCCGTCTCAGACTTACCCTCCAAGTAAAGACGTAAAGAATCCTTTTGACGACTTCAACTTAGCTTCAGCCTCTTGAACAAGTTTAACACCTCTCTGTTCATTATCTGCCATTTTGTTTGGCTTATTCAACTACAATATTTATATGAGAAATTGCTCTAATTTTGGATTATTATGTATTATTTGATGACATGATAAACATTTGTGTTCTGATGATAAATCGTCACTTCCTTTCCTCCCACTAAACTAGCGACCTCTACAAACATTAACATTTATATACAGTGTTATCTCCCTTTATACATTAACGCTTAGAGGTAATCACGGTCATGAATAGCCTACGTCCGATTTCATGACTGGAATTGGAAGGCAAATTCTGATCGCATTAATCCAATTTGTACCACTGTGTCTCCCTTTTAGGTTTAATGTATATATATGCATATAGCAACCAGATAATAATTTAATCATGGACATTTTTATTAATAATTTTAGCACCGATCGATATGATCAGACAATGGTCTAGGTAAAAATTAGGCCTACTACTAATTTGTAGAACTTTTTCAAAATCATATAAATTGCTCTGCGATTAATGAAAACCTGTTTTAAAACCACTAGAATTTACTACATGAAACAAAATTTTTGCAAATTTTGTCGATATCATTACCTTATTGCCCAATTCCAATGAGGTTGTAGCTGGAATTAAACTGATAAAGGGAATCATTTTACGACACTATCCCTTGATAAATATTGTCACCTTATCAACTGGACCTATACGTAGAATAAAAATAGGTCTGCCTATAGATCAAGGGTATATTTCTGTACTACCTTACCCCGTACATCAAATGTGTGAAAACGAAAAAAAGAGAAGATTATGAAGAACTATAATAGATCATTTGACTCTAACAAAGACTAGGAAAGAAAGCGACTATTCAAATTCCATATTTACATTAAAGATATCAGTTAGTTTTTGTATAGTGTTTGATGGCAAAGTAGGCGTCACCCTGACCCAGTCGGTCACCTTTACATGTGCATTGGTAAGTGATCATTACCGATCCAGATACAAGATAGTACGTACGTGTTCACACATATTCTAATCTATCACTCTAATCTTTTATACAAATTTCAATTTCATTTTATGCATTAAATGTCCATAGACATTGTAAGAGAAGGCTTCTTCTTCTTCATTGTTCACTGTATAGCATTGTCCGTCTTTAATGTGCAGAAAAGTAGACCATACTTTATATCTGTTAATTTCATACTTTAGAACTACACAAGGCAGGCTATCACCATTCACAATAAAAGTTTATTTTGGAGAATAACAATTATTATAATATAGGTTATTACCCTAGAATAATTATGTAATAAAATGTGTTCACCCCCTGGTTGTCTATTAAACATTGTTTAGATATTATTCTGCCTCCCGGGGTTTCTCAAAGAATGTTGATTGACATAAAAAGTTTACATCCTGTACGATTCCTTTCTACTCTATACCAACAATACTCTCTGCAGTACAATACTCCAGAACACTGGAATTGTTAATTAATTGTTCTTATCACTATGAAAAACATTTGCATGTGTTACCAGAACATTTGCCAATAGTCCCAGACCGTTAGAACAGTTATGTTTGCAACAGATCATATTCTAGAACATCAGATCCGTTAGGTCAAAAGGTTTGTTGCCCTTTTTTCTCTGGAACGTCAGAGCGGTTGGGTCAAAGATTTACTGTCGATTGCATTCCAGAACGCCAAAACAGTTTGTCAAAAAGGTTTGCTGTCGATTGTATTCCTGAAGATCAGAACAGTCTTGTTAAAAAGTTTGCTGTCAATTTTATTCCAGAACGTCAAAGAGGTCAGGTCAAAGGTTTGCCTTGGATTGTGTATTTCAGAACATCAAAGCCAGGTCAGGTCAAAGGTTTGCTGTCGATTACAATTTAGAACGTTAGAGCAGTCATGTCAAAGGTTGCTGTCGATTGTCTTCTAGATCGTTAGATCAGTCATGTCAAAGGTTTGCTGTCGATTGTCTTCTAGAACGTTAGAGCAGTCATGCCAAAGTTTTGTTGTCGATTGTCTTCTAGAACGTTAGAGCAGTCATGTCAAAGGTATGCTGTTGATTGTATTTTAGAACGTCAGAGCAGTCATGTCAAAGGTTTGTTGTCGATTGTCTTCTAAATCGTTAAATCAGTCATGGCAAAGGTTTGCTGTCGATTGTCTTCTAGATCGTTAGAGCAGTCATGTCAAAGGTTTGTTGTTGATTGTCTTCTAGAACGTTAGAGCAGTCATGTCAAAGGTTTGCTGTCGATTGTCTTCTAGAACGTTAAAGCAGTCATGTCAAAGGTATGCTGTCGATTGTCTTCTAGATCGTTAAATCAGTCATGTCAAAGGTATGCTGTCGATTGTCTTCTAGATCGTTAGAGCAGTCATGTCAAAGGTTTGTTGTTGATTGTCTTCTAGAACGTTAGAGCAGTCATGTCAAAGGTATGCTGTCGAATGTATTTCAGAACGTCAGAGCAGTTATGTCAAAGGTTTGCTGTCGATTGTCTTCTAGATCGTTAGAGCAGTCATGTCAAAGGTTTGCTGTCGATTGTCTTCTAGATCGTTAGATCAGTCATGTCAAAGGTTTGCTGTCGATTGTCTTCTAGATCGTTAAATCATTCATGTCAAAAGTTTGCTGTCGATTGTCTCCTAGATCATTAGACCAGTCATGTCAAAGGTTTGTTGTTGATTGTCTTCTAGAACGTTAGAGCAGTCATGTCAAAGGTATGCTGTCGAATGTATTTCAGAACGTCAGAGCAGTTATGTCAAAGGTTTGCTGTCGATTGTCTTCTAGATCGTTAGAGCAGTCATGTCAAAGGTTTGCTGTCGATTGTCTTCTAGATCGTTAGATCAGTCATGTCAAAGGTTTGCTGTCGATTGTCTTCTAGATCGTTAAATCAGTCATGTCAAAGGTTTGCTGTCGATTGTCTTCTAGATCGTTAGAGCAGTCATGGCAAAGGTTTGTTGTTGATTGTCTTCTAGAACGTTAGAGCAGTCATGTCAAAGGTATGCTGTCGATTTTATTTCAGAACAAAAGAGTAGTCATGTCAAAGGTTTCCCGTCGATTGTCTTCTATAGAACATAAGAGATGTTATCCAGAACGTCAGATCAGTCAGGTCAGAAATATTTGCTGTCAATTGTGTTTCAGAACATCAGAAGTTTTGCCATTTACTGTATTTCATAGAATTAGGGATAGTGTTCACGGAAGCCAGGGCTGTCAAGTTAACAAGTTTGCTGTCGATTGTATTCTAGAATTCTATAGCAGTCAGCTACAAAAAGGTTTACCCGTGGTTGCAATCATGTCAGAAAACGTTTTGATTTTGGATCAAAAGTTGAAGAATGTCAACCCGATCTAAAAGATGAGAAAAGTTCCTGGAGATTTAAAGTTGTTTTATCTTTAAAATAGTTCATCTGACTGATAAATTTATCATATTAGTAATACATCTAACAGGATTGAGATTTCTTTTGAAACTTTTCACTTTTTTACCCTGGTTAAGAAAGAAATAGTTCTTTGAAAGAAGCTACAATTGTTTTCCCCAGCTGTCGGATTGTTGAAAATTTTTCAAGAAGATGTGATATATTTTGAGCAAATATCACGTCATGTAAACGAAAGCATTGTGTCCGTTCAAGATTACTAGCCATTGGTCAATGAATGTAGCATGCACCTCAGACCAGCCCACTGATCAGAGCGTGGAATTTCACGAAAATGATTGTGTAAATTTTGTGCCTAATGTTTGGACTTTTCACGCGAAATCACACTTTCTAAATCCCGCAGTTTTGACGCTTTCTTTGTTTTGTTGTCCTTTAGTTGTTCGACAAATAGGAAAAGTAAATGTTTCGGCAGTCTTGAAGCACGAGTAAATGACCCAGAAGTTATTGAAATGACTGGCGAGTTTTCTATATTATCTGAACAATGAACTTATTAAAAGGTGTACACATGACGACTCGCGATCTTCTTAATTCTTTTAACACTTGAGTCGAGATGTCCAACACTGAATGTGAACCTCTCCTGGCCTTTCTTCATATTCAACTATAAATAACTCTTTTCTTCAATGGCTGGATCATTTTACGTTTGTGTATTCATACTATACACTTAAATATAATGTGACACACACGTACGTTTTATTACAATCTCTGTTGGACTAATGGATACGCTGCATAAAAGCTGGGTGTAAGGTTATAGGATGGTAGTTTGGGTGGAGTTTCATCAACATTTCAGATCGATTCGAAAGAGTATTTAATATCATATCTTTATGAGTACTTAATGATCTATACCTGGAATATACGGATGTACTCTAAAGTAATACCTGTATTTTACTTAACTTATATCTACCTGGTAACATGTGAACTATTATGTGAACCCTCTACAGGACAATGTCCAGGTGACAGGCAACGGATACCTGCAAATGAGGGATGTTGTCCTGCTAGAGCTGGGGAAGCCTGTGGAGGTGACGTGAGTGTATATTGTGATACGGAATTGGGATATACATGTCTAGATGAGAATGGAGAGGAAGGGCGAGGTGTTTGTAAAGGTAGGTGGTCTCTATCCATTGTTCAATTTCAACCACATCCTGGTCCATGATCTGACAAACTTCAGAGCCATCATACGGGCTCAAGAAAAATAACAATTATTTGAGCGTAATGAGTTTGTGAATCATACTATAAGGGTCAGGAATGACACTTAAATTCAAACTGACAGTGTTCGACCAGTTATTCTTGCCCTATTCATCATTTACAGTGGATATCTTTCTTCTTAGTCGTTATATCTGAGTTTCGATTTTTTTTTCACACGATTTGTATCTGAAGATTTCTAATTCCGGCTTTTGATGCAATAATTTGGCACTTCTTCGTCATATTACATCTTAGTTCCGGGTTATCGTGGCCGAGTTGTTGATAAATTCATAACATCGGTTCAACTCATAAGTTGACTGAGATAATAATTTGGCACCGTCTAATACATTATGGAGGACAAAAATATAATCCGAACTAATTGTACTTTGACAAATTTTTAACTAATGAATTCAGAGGAGAAAGACATTCTGCGATTAAATGGCCAGAAGCAAGGGGTTATAATAAAATAGACCCCATGACATTCGCATTCAAGAAACGGACCCAACTTGTGGTCAAATGTTTGATTCATGACTGACCCTCAGTAAAAAGTCACCAGTAGCATGCTTACCACCTTTCCTGCATTCTTGTTTATATATTTATGAGCATGTATATATAATGTAAGCTTATGTAGTGACTGCTCTTCTAACATGGTAACATAAGAAAGAAGTTCCTCTGTACACATGTCCTTCTGAAATAGTTTTTGTGGAAGGTATTTGTCTGTCGTCTGAAAGAGTACTCTAAATCTGTCTTACGGTATATAACGTAATTTTAGTTTACGAACTATTCGATTTATTTTGAACCAATTATATTTTTAGACAGGTAACAATGAATCAATGTTGAAAACAAATACCGACCTTCACTTGTTTGTTATTTTACAATCACAGTCGTTACAAATTCTTCAAATACTCTAGGTGAAGAATCTTAATTAAAATATTTTGCTGGGTGAGTAGAAATCGGCTTGAATGAGATAATCTATTAAAGAAAACCATAAAAGCATTGATGTTTGGGATATAGGTCAAATTGGCCAAAATGGTCGACTCAGAAGATTCAGTATATTATCCAAAAGCTTTCAAGAAACAATTATAAAGTTAAACAAGAGCAAATAGAATTTCTGATCAGCATCGTATCCTTGTCTATCTTCCTACATACTGTATGCTATACTGCCAGATGTGAATTTGCCTGAAGCTGGTTTGTGAATCAAAGAAAAATAAACTTCTTCTAAACTAATAAATTAACCTCACTTTTCAAACAATCTAAAAAAAAAACATCTCTGCTTCTTGGTTTTTCAGCCAGAATTTGAATTTATCAGGATACATGATCTTACCTTCACTGTCAGAGAACTGAATAGAAACAAAACTAACGGCACCTGGATACTGGCATTATTTATAAACCAGACCGGATGGTGAAATACAAACTATAGCATGTTATTTACCTTATTAACTGTTAATTAACAGTTTTACACGAAATTTGATATCTTGCATGAAGTAATGACTTTTAAATGATAGGTGTGCCGCAGAACACATGCTCTAAAACTCTTCCAGAAGTGCCCCTTTACAAACGATTAAAGCGACGTCATATTAACTGAAAGTTATCATGCCATAGTTTGCATTGACGAAAATGTCCTGAGTATCTCTGAGCAATGCGGGAGGCAATTTTACACCTTAGTATACTTGATGGATTTGCACTATTCATTGCATGCTTGAAGTCATATTCCTCAGATATAAGAATGTAACCTCTCCTTATACAAATGCCTTCTTTCAATCTTCATGAAGGAAGTATTATTTATGTTAAAAGACTGTAGAAATAAACTATAAGACTACAGGGAAATTTGGCAGATTTCTTATATCACGATGAGAAAACCTTCAACCCTCGACATATCACAAGTTTCATTCGGTAAATCAAAATTAGCCACGATTGCAATAAATGCTGAATCCAAAACCAAAGTTGGTGTCGACAAAGCTGGGCCAGCCTTATTTCTCAACAGTTATGTATAGTACTTAATGTACTAAAATTTGTCTGATTATAATACTATTAGTGTTTAAGCATAGTGGACACGATTGGTAAACTACCTAAAAGCGTCGAATTTGAAGCGATTTTGATTCTATAGTAAATAGTTGACGTACGTCCCACGTTACCAAAGAACTTTGGGCAATTTCAAGACGCATATTTTTCAAAGCTGTTCTAGTACCCTTACATAAAGGAAGTAGCTGCGGGTCTACTCTAAAAGTAAGAATTCTGAAGTCGAGTCTGTATGGAGTACTTTATCTATTCTTTTGAATAACTTATACGCTTTCGGCAATATAGACAAATTCATTATAGCCTCTCGTTTCTATTTACTTAAATTGTTAACTCAAATGCTCAGGTGTAAAAAAATATAATGCGATATAAATATATTTAAATTCAAAGTAAACTCATGGAAAGAATTGTGAATTAAATCCGTTTAAAGTTAATAAGATATGCATAAAATTTGTCAGTTATCACGTAAAAAGGTTCTTACATCTTCTTATGTAATATAATATTCTTATAAAGAGGATACTTGATGATCATGATGATTTTTTTTTCTCCTTGACTTTGGTGTAGAAATCGAGTTTCGAGTCATCCAAATAATCAAGACTTGCATATCGATAGTATTATGGGAACTTGATCTTGTTGGATTGGCAGTCGGGTTGATTTAGAAATGAAATGAAATGAGTGGAGTTGTACTCCTACTTTTCTGCACCATGTAAGCTAATGAAGACGGGGGATGATTTAGATATTGACAGTATTCAGTCAATGGCACAGTGTGATTTAAGTAATCTTATTGCATTGTATTGAACATATTCTAATTAAAAAAAGCATACTCGTTGATCCGTATGATCCTGATATTTGTTAAAATCACCAATGGATGAATAGTAGTTATGTGGGCTCTCTTGAAGGGATATCTAGTTGACAAACCCAGTCATCGTGCCTTTAAACTCTGTCCTTGATATTAATGTCACATCAGTTATATCTGCCTTGTTTACTGTTGCATCTTTCTTTAAACAAAACTGAGCAGACGGATTGACAGATCGCGCCTTTTTTCATAGCAACCGACTTAACACTCGACAGTATTTATTTATAGTGATCATCACACCTCTAATATTCACAATGAACTCTTTATTGAATCACATTTCAAAGGTATTTCAAGTTCTGAACGAATTATACTCCTCAACAAGTTGCCTTCAAGCAAACTATTGAAATTCTACCAAATTTTTCAATCAAGGTGAAGGTCAAAGCTCCTTTTCTTAAGTTATTAAGGGATATAACCACACCCGATTTATTTGAATTCAAAACATATTAATAGATAGTTTTATGTTATGAATACAATTCAATTTATATGACCTATCGATGTAATTGACCTTGCAACACAAACGCCAAACATATTTTAGTTAGTGAATGGGGCTATTTCACATGCAATCCATGATCCGACAAATTTTTTATTGATCTGCTGTTCATTTAATATTCAACCAATCAAATGATCTGTTCAATAAAACATTTCCTGAAGACCACTTGTAATAGTATTTGATTGGTTAGCAACTTCGCATGACATAATTTTTTATGCAACTCGGTTACAATTTTACAGAAAATGGTCAGATCATGGATGGCAAATGTATTAAGCCGCAGAAAAATACGAAACGAAACATCCAGATTTGCATTTCATTCGGATTGCTCTTTATTAAAGTACAGAAATGATCTTGTTCTCTTTATAATAAAAATGGAAACGTAGGTGTATTATGATCTAGTTCAATCGAACAGCCACACTTGTATGAGAATAATCATTTAATACAAAAACAGAAATCCATTTAGTCTACAAGTTTTGAAGTCTTGGAGTAATATTGGATGTTTTATCAAAGACAGAAGCCAGGAAGTTCAATATTTAGATTGTTGCCTCGTCCCGAGTTAACCCTGTATGTTTCTAAATCGAGGTACATCATAAATATTATTGATAATTTTAGAATGTTTATACTCATCCTAATATAGATATTGATAACGTCTTAGAAAATGATGAGTTAAAGGCAGATGATCTTTTGATTGAAAAGCAGATAACCAATGTATGTAATAAGAGTACTGAAGCCATACATGTACCAGAGTTGCCTTACTTGTTGGAAGAACCAACAGTGGTGTGTCTATGAATCATTTGGTGTGAGTAGGTAATACGAATAACTTTTTCCGCAAACTAAATGAGAATTCCTATTATCAAGATCTTCGGGCCGCTTTTGGTATCATCTGCAACTAGATTTTAATACCCAAAAGACAATGATTTTTTTCTAAGTTATTATATAGAAATTTATTCAACGTAGTTGAAACAATAGGCCCTATATATTGCACAAGGCAGAATTTCACAGAGTGTCATATTGTTAATTTAAACAAACTTTCAGCTTTTTGTTGTATTAATATATGGAGAAATGTGTCTATATACATTTCGTCTATTCAAATAACTATTTTTCTTACAATCAATATTACACGGAAGGAATTGTAAAGTTGAAAGGTAATTAATGTTTTCTGGTAAAAACTGCCAGCATATTTCATTGACATGTGGATTTTTCACCAACTGGCTATGTTAAAAGTCAACTTTGCTAATGAAGAACGTCTGCATTCCTTGGTTTGGCACTAAACAATTATTATACAGACTGTTAATGTAACATTGTTTTAACTATTTGGTTCTGTCACCATGCACACAGCAATATATTAACTTTAGAGTGTGTCCCGGGGCCAGTGCTTTATTTCAACATATTCTCACATGCAATAGACTGCAACATACATGTTACAGACTGTATTCTAGGATGCCAAATCACTTTTTTAGAAAGGGAAATGGCATGTCCAAAAAGATGATTTAAAACTGTCACTAAAGGTACACATAAAAAGGGGACAAATATCCAAAGTCAACACACTTTTTTTGGAAAAGTTCAAGCATCTTAAAAAGACTTACACTACCAATCTGACATTCTTAATCTCCTTTACATTACTCCTTTTTAATTTCAAAATATTATATAACATCTCTAGAGCTACATCTGTCAATGGACATCTTCGCCAGAATATGCAGATTATAGCCTTTTCTTTGTTGATGTTGTCAAATGGCAAGAAATCCATTTATGATATGACTTCACGATTCGTTAGCGATAGTAATGAGTAGCTTCTTTATCAAAATGTGCTTTCCCGAGGATCGCAGCTTCTTTCATAATTAGCAATGCATACTTCCAGACAAACATATTTGTCTCATTTTATGACATTCTTCAATTTTTCTGAAAATATATCCTGTGAATATCAGTATTAAGAAATGTAAATAGTAGGTATTTGAGAGGGGCGTGGGTTCATCACTAATTGACTGCCAGTGTATTGACAATGTGCTCACAAAACGAACAATTAAGAGACGACCACCGACGAGTCTTCTTCATCTCTATTATAACTTATTTTTTGTTCAGTTTGAAGCAAGGAAATGGGTAGCTCCATCTAGCATATGTAAACTACTTTAAAACTGTTGATGTGATCGAGAGTATTGGATATATCGTCTTGGTATTTGACTTCTTTCAGACAAGAGCAAGAGCACTGTCATTTGTAGATTCTGCTGTCACAGTGTGATATTCTATATAGGGGAAATTTTGGTTCTCTGACATAGTGTTCAAAGTAAAAATATACTTATAGGTATTTATAGTAAAGATGATAGCTCCACCCAAGTGTTGAGTCGTAAGATCAAGCTCAAAGCAGTATCAGTGTGTCTTGTCTAATGGAGAGTTGGACAATGCTGTCAAAGTCGAAAGTACTTTTATACTATTACATTATGATACGAAGTCGAATTGATCAGTGCCAAGATCTGCCTGTCAAATTTTAAGTTTTATTTAAGCAGGCGTTGTGTCAAATTAAATCTAAAAGGTTTTGATTTCTGCAATAATATTGAAAAGTTGAGGTTGAAATTGCGGTTAATGATAGTGATTAGTACGATGTGTAACGTGCCAGTAGTATAACAAAATACAAACAGATTCATTCAAACACTTTTTATTATCTTTTGATCAAAACATTCTACCGACCATAGTCCATGATTACCTTGTAACTAAATCTCTCGCCATTTTTAAACCCGTTGAAGTCTGCGATATCTCAGACTTGTTAATGTCTTCACACTCAACAGTATATCAATATATCAGTTTTCTCTACAAAATAATTGTTGAATAACCAGCAGAAGTTAGTTATGATTGAGTGTACATCTTCTTAAATCTCAGATTCAAACGGAAAGCCGTGATCTACTCAACACATCGATGCTGACGGTCAGATATCAGATAACAGGCACTATTGGCTAAACGAGGCGTTCTCTTCAGTATTCCATGGTGACACCACAATCTATAATTTGATCAAAAGGTCCTGTAACCAGAAATATCAAGGGTACTCAATACCCTCGAGTAAATGTTGACATATCGTATAAAAAATACGTCTCTCTTTTGTACCTATTATTGTTCATGTGATTTAGCGATGATTATGATTGAACACAGTTAGAGTTTACAAATCAGCCCACAAGACACTGGTGACCCTTAATGTTTACTCTTACAACTTTTAAGGCCCCATTACTAATATTTTACAGCAAAGAAGGTCATGGAAATTAAAACAAGAGCTTTCCATATTTTTAAGCTCAGCTATTTCAGACCATTAATCAAATCGAGATTTGGATTCAATCTGAAAGGAACTGGGTTTTTTTTTTGCTTTCCACGACAAGCAGATTGTAATCTTAATTTAAACAAAATTCAAGCCCTGTTGCAATAGTACTAACAAAGTTAAGATATTTTTTAGGAAGTAAAAACTGAAAGTAGAGCATTTGTTTCATGTTTTATACGTTGATATATCGAGTTAGCGTCAATAAGTAATCTCTTATTACTTTATTTATTCTTTCAATTTATTTTCTGTTTTAATTCTGCAATCTGGTTGTCAGTGAACTTTTCCGTTGACTGATCCTAGTGAACAATACTTCGTCACGTTTCATTTCACAATACCATAATTCGAGTGCAGGTGGCACAATTTAAACATCAAAGAGTTTAAAGGGATTGATTTTGAAAAAATACGTAATGATTACTACATTGGATTGTATTTCCTCAGCCGTAGACATCATCTCACGTCCACCGTCTATAGTTTGTAGAGTTCATGTTGGACAACTGAAAGTTACTTCTCTCGTTTTAAATGAAAATTACAGTAAAGTACAGGTACGAGTTGAAATGTAAAACGTTATTTAGAACATTTTTACCTGCACTATATATTGTCTCCCACGCCAATTTTAAACTACTTCATTAAGTTAAATATACACCTTACGTCACTGTATAATGTCAATATTTGTTGCATCGAGTTTGTTTAGTAAACAACTACTCGTAGTTTTCTTTCATAATGGTTTGCACTTGAAATGAGTGTACGTGTTCGTTTCATATCAATAATATTTTACGGATCTAACAATGATAATGAATTTAATTACTTAACGCCAAATGAGCAATATAATTATAATTTAGAATTGACTATAATGCTGGGTCACTTGTATCACCACCTATCTTTAAGGTTTTAACTTGGAAGACTATACCAATCGTTCTTCAGACCGAAAACCAAGTCAACCAAGAGAATCTTCATGTCATTTTCCAGTACAAATATATCTTATCTTCATTCACATACTTGGAGACAACCAGAGCCATCGAAACACTAAACAACGCCAACTCTAACCAGGTATCAATAATTTATACCTGTCAACCCAATATATATTTGGTATAACAACCAATGAACTCAATAACCAATACGAAACCCATTAATTTCAATCCATCAGAGGAAAGGACCAGGTCAATAGTAAACCAGACAAATCTGGATCCGCCTTATGCAAGTCATCAACCATCTAGCCAACCATCCAACCAATTGCTAATCAGATGAGACATCAACCGGTTACCCAATCGTCAATCTAATATTATGTTGATCAACCAAATACAACCAACAAACCACAACTACCAGCAACCAACAGAATACAAATTAAAAGGGAAATCTATAAGATACACTATTGATTCAAGTTGAAATCAGCTCTTGGACAGTTGCTTTCGATTTGTTTTCATTTCTCCACCAAAATTATCCATTATCTTTATTACAAGATGAAATCGCACCCTGCATCAGATGGTGAAGATAAGAGAGTCTTATAGAGTCCTTCGATAGCGACTCTCACCACCGTTATACGATTTTCGATTTACTTGTATAATCATTTTGTTATATGTACCTAGCCACCTATGGCCTGGTGTTGAATGTGTACAGACCTATCATTATACATTATAATAACAATACCATTGTATATTGACACGAGATTACATTACAATTAGGTTAAGCCAGCCTTGAATCCTTTTGAAATTCAGATCTTAACAATCCCTTTTCTATCCAATTTCTTTGTAATCAAGAAATCACGTCATGTCAAGATTTAAAGATAGCAACACAACCTTCTAGTCCAGTCTAGTTACGATTATTACGGGCATGTAGGCTGTAACGAACTTAATATAAACCTTAAGCTTTTTCGAGTATCAAGAAGCATTTTAACTTAATCCTCCCAAATGAACTTAATGTAGAGCAAGCGAGGACAAAAGCTATGGAATATCCGAATGGTAGATGGCTCACGAAAATGAATGTCGGTTCGTTTTTCTTAAAACATCAATTTAAAGGGAATGACTTGACACATTGCAGACCAAGTGAATAGTCTTATTTTCTGGTTGAAATATTTCTTCAGAAATCCTTTAATTTAAATATAATATCTCACAGCTCCAGCCTTTATGACATGATCCACCTCACTGGGTTTAATAATTTTATCACACCTTCTATTTTCATTCAATTGTCGAGAATTAAATGTTTTCGGGGTTTCAAATGGCGTCCTTAAATGCTAAAACCAATTCAAAAGATAATCCTTCAATTATTTTGAGAAACGTTATCTTGTTGAGATTATCTAGTGACCTACCAGTAGGATGACTCAAGTTACGTTCAAATGGTTATTGATAATGTTATATATAGTGCATTTCCTGTGAACAAAATCAATTTTAGCAGCCGAAAGCATGTTTAGCAAAATAAGTTGCATAAATCATTCTTGCATCACTATTCAAATTGTATCACCATATTCCACTTTCATATTAGCCACTATAAACAATAGCTAGTTCTGACATCAATTCAATGTTGTAACAAAACATTCCAGCTCATTTTAGATCCACTTAATGTGAGCTCTAAATTTTATGCAAGTTAATTTCTGTGTAATTGCAGGTAAATATGACCTACGAGGCGTTACTATCAAACAGAAATCATTGACCATACAATGGAAACCATTTGCACCACCAAATTATACTTTGGAATACAGTTTGATGTCTAGGATTCACAACTACAGTTCCAATCTAACTTTATGGAAGACTATCGAGGTAATATAATTGTTTTGTAATTACCTAGAACCTTTTGATTCCACACAGTATTAGCAAGGTGTTTGTTTTCTCGTCCGCTTTCAAGGAATCGAAGCAAAGAAGGTTTGAGAGTTCTACCACATCTTGAACTATTCAGCCATGATTTACTACAATGTCTATCTTTGAAAATATTAGTCAATTGCAAACCACCGATAATATATAAGCTCCTAAACTTTCGTCTCCAATTATTTCAAGGATTTGTCTTTCTGTTGGTAGTTGTTGTTGAATTAAATATTCCTTGTATTAGTGACAATGACTATAATTCAAATTACAGACTGGAGACGAAGCAGAGTACACACTGGTCGATCTGGAACCAGCAACATGGTACTTCATCAAGATTGCTGTTTGGCATATTCCCTTTAACGATTCGTACAGTAACATCACGGAAACTTTGATGATCAAAACTAAAGGTAATCGATATGTTACAAGGCCTGTTTGGGAGATCATACCATACAAGCATATTAAAGCAGTGCTTATGTCTCAATAAAGGCAGTATGAGCTGAGCTTGTCCAAGATTCCGCTCAAGTTATCTTGTTTATACTTCAATGTTACAGATGGGATAAATTTCCGTACAAGCAAGACAACTCCGTCAATCAAAATCACAAACAAATTTTGACGCGTTTTTCATAAGTCAAGGGCAATAACTCAAAAACCGTTCACCGAAAGATCGTCAAATTCGAATATGTCCAAGATCTCAATAATATAAATGATCACACCCAATTTCATTAAAATCAGATAAAAACTGTTGTCTCTATTGCGTTCACAAGCCAATTGTGGACGGACGGACCGATGGGCGGACAAGGGGCGACGATAAAATTCGACCACATTATAATGTGGGCGTATAAAAACGGACATGTGCACCAATCCAATTCACAGTCCATCTTAAAATCACTCATGTAGCTGTTAAGCTGATGCCATTATTGGGAAAAGAACTATACTTTCTTGTCAATTTGACTGGATATGTCATCTCATATAGAGAAACGTACATGTGTTCAATCAACACAATGAGCATCCCCAATATTTAATGAAATATTTTTATCGATCGCTATACTATCGGGTTTGTGTATCCTGGATCCTATCATTTGTAGATGCAGAGTATTGTGAACATGCTGGCAATGAATATGAAATTGGCCAAACATTTAATAACAATAACGAAGACAGCTGTTTATGTTTGAAAACTGGTCAGCTGGATTGCACAAGCCTATGTCCTAACTCATCAAATGAAGCTTGTGATATCAGAACTAGAGGAAATTGCTCCGAAATAGAATGTGAAACAGTAATGGGTGAGTTTTGATCCATATATTCACATAAAAACAACCATTATAGCGCCTTCAAATATCCAGGTAAGATTTGCATGGTACTAACTCAAGCCCAATTTACTTGATGTCTTATTAGGTTTATTCCTAATCGCAGTGTCTGAATTACTTAGCCTTTTAGTTAATCATTCTTTCTTTCAGCAAACTGTTCAGTAAATGGTACTATATATATCCATAATGAAATATTTGAACAAGGAGAATGTAGAGAATGTACATGTAGTAATGGTGAAGCAACGTGTATTTTACCTTCTCACTGTGAGGAGATGGAAGCAACAGAAGAATGTCCGAAACCAGTTTCACATATAATAGAAGGTCAATGTTGTCCAGAGTGGGAATGTGGTAGGTACAAACACATGTAGCTTCTTTCTCATGTATCAGACTTTCATATATCCAGTTGCTTAACTCCCAAAGGGACTGGTCGAACCAATTCCCCACCTCTAAGGGGACCTCAACCCCCACAAAAATGCAAGAGAGCATAATGTTAAAAATCACTGGCGTCCTATGTTAAATATTTTGGGTCTTTTATTCAAATACATATAGCAGCTATTACTACACTGAGCTATTGTATGTTTTCAAAGCATACTCGATAGTTCATGAATAGTAATGAATTTCATAGCAAATGAACAATTACAAGTAGATATTGAATTGTATATAGAGATCTGTGAAAGAAGAATAATGAAATGACCATCCTAGTCACTTGTAAAGTATCAAGCATACATATATTTATTTGAATTTCAGGTAGTCCACGACTCACATTTTGTGAGCATCGAGGAAGAAGGTATACTGAAGGTTATGAATGGCAAGATGAAGAGACATGTGAAACTTGTGAATGTCACCAAGGTCAAGCTACTTGTCATAATTTCTGCGAGGAACCGGAAATGCCAGAAAATTGTCCTCGACCAAGTAGGCGACCCGCCCCAAATGGTTGTTGTGAAATCTACGAGTGCCTCCAACCAGGTAGGTTTTAATGTCGTTCTAATTTGAGATCTGCTCTATTTATGCTATTCTTCCCATATCACTAACCTAATACGATATAGTGTTGAAGCTTTTTCTCATTAAAATTGCTTTATAGATGGAGTAATCCCTTTCTGGGACCGATTACTTGAGTGATCTCTCTTTTCAGTGGACATTTGTGTCTATGCTAATGGTACACATAAACGAGGATCATTTTTCACCAGTGATCATTGTGAACTTTGTGTGTGTAATAAGAATATGACAGTAGAATGTTCGCCATCTTGTCCTGAAGAACCACCACCGTTACCACTAAGACCGAGCGTCATCTGTCGTCAACCACATTATAGACTTGTCAACTGCTGTAAAACACTCTTTTGTCAACGAGGAGATAATGGTATGATTTGTTAATTGATTCATTAAATTTAAAATGTCAGTTCAGTTCCACACCACGACAGAGGAAGTGTGAGATAGCGGTTAGAAATCTAAAGCAAGAACGTTAATGATAATCATTGAAGAATACTCAAACTAGGTTCCTTTTTATGGAAAGAATGTCCATTTTCGAAAGTTTCAAATTGTAACGATCCAAAATCCATCCCTAATCGTTGGGTTATGGAGGTAGCATGAGGTTAACAAATAATATATGCTAAATTGGATATATGCAGAATAGGATGTCGGGTTGACAGGCCCCATCGCAGAGTGACATCAGACCTTCCGGAAGAGTAAGCATGTTCTGCCTCTCTGACACACGCCACAATGCTTATCAAGAACTCAAGAGCTAAAACCTAATAAAAATGTAGGTTGAAGTATGATTGTTGATCTATTTTATTATTACAGATCTAATGAGCGCTATTAGAAACGTGTACGCTACTTCTCATACACCCCAGTCAATCACCATTACCTTTGATGCCTTGAGACAGAGGACTGAGGAGGAAGAAGAGGAATTGTATCCAGATTATCAGCTTTTCTTTTCTGATGCTGAAGAGTCGAGCAATCCCACGAATTGGACACCAAAACACATCCACCTCACTCCAGTTGAGGAAGACGAATCTACTTCACCATCTCTTCTTTTTCAAAAGATGGATTCATTTCTTGTTGGAAGTAGAGCTTACATAACGATTTCAGGACTACTTCCCAATACGACTTACTATTTCAAGATTTTCCCAATTCAAAGAATTTCTGGAAACCATAATGACGCCAGTGTAACGGACACGACCACTGCATTGCCGGATAAAGAAGCTCTCCTAGCTGCCAAAACACTCGCCAAATGTAAGTTTTATGATCAATTAGTACTTTTATGGTTTAATTTACCATTTGCTCTATCATAGGCATTATTGTTTCCTGAACATTTTTTGGTAGCATATTCTCTTCGTAGCGCTATTATTTCATCTTCACTCACAAGTCAAGTCGACCCAGCTATAAATGGCCACGGATAATCCGGATAAGATCGATGCCAAGAGTTTCGGCCAATGACCTGATGGTAGCAAGGATCCGAACGAGTAAACCTAAGATGTTATCCCTGTATAATATATTGGTTGTTTCTTTCCTTCTTTCATTAGTCAAAGAAAGTAGATTGATTTACTTCCAGACTCATTCCATCATAATTGGCGATGGTATTAATGTATAAAAATATTGTCATGTTTCTTTAATACAGCTTTAACCTGTATAATAAATGGTAGGGTATTGAATGAAGAAGAATCGTATTTGGATGAATGTGAAAGAGACTGTATATGTAGAGCAGGGAAACTGGCCTGTGAAAACAATTGCCCGCAAATAAACACCATAATGATGCCTTCTTCCTCGTGTCCACAACCAAAATTAGAAAAAAAGGAAAATGAATGCTGTCCTTCGTGGAAATGCCATCCAAAACGTAAGAAGCATTATTAAACGCCAACATCAAACATGATCTACAAATATACGGATTTGAAATGGAAAACGTGGTTTCCCAACTCCAATGCTGCACTTGCGTTATTGGTGCTAGTGATACTAACTTAAATCTTGAAAGTCTGAAAGCCGTGTGAATAATTCAGTGACACTTTTTTTTTTACTTACTTCCATCAATGCCTCCATTTCAGCCTCCGGTTGTCGATATGGAACAGCTCTTCTGAAAGACGGGGAACAAGTTAGAGAAGGTTGTGACAATATATGTACTTGTGAATCAGGAAGGATGCAATGTCGCCCAGTTTGTAATATCACAAGTGAGCCTCCTAGACAAGGTTGTAGATTACAGCAGATACCAGATCATTGTTGTAAGGCTTGGATGTGTCCACCAGGTAAGCTACCCTCATTGAGAACGTGTATATAAAGCGAACAGACTAGATGCTTTTCCAGATAATCGGTTTACACAACATAATGTAACTAGCTATGTGGACTTTCCGAAAGGATTGCTGAGTTGACAAATAAAGGGATTATAATGTTACATTTTAATGTGTGTCGGGGACTCTGAGAGTATCAGTTTGCACCATTCCAATTTTCAATCAGACGTGGATGGTTCCTGTAATTCCACAAATACAAAAGTTTTTTGTGATGTCACTAATCGCAAAACTGCTTAATCACCTAAGACCCTTCCTGATTAGTCAAACTCTTAGATTTAGTGGAATTACAGACGTCTGATCGAAAATTGAAATGGTGCAAATTTATGCTATCAGTATCCCCGATACGCATAAAAGAATTTAGAAAAGGCCTGCTATGTATTACTGTGAACTCTGAAACAACTGAGTATGTGGAATGCACTCACCGGTTCTTTGTTATTTCAGATAAAAGACCTGTAAAAAGTGTCGAGGCTGTTGTTAGGACTATTTTTAACAGGAACTGTTTGGAGCCAATAAACCAGTTCAAAAATTCTTTCCGGGAAGAGTTATTGGGCCTGGTGCATTCCTCGTGTAAAAGATTAAATGAACATGAGCGAACGATATGTTTAGAGATTGATACAGTGATGCATTGTTCAACCACCAGAAGTAGACGTAGAAGAGATGTTGATGCTACCATTGTCGACTTCGGTGTCTCTGTGCCTAGAAGGTACCTTTTGAAACAATTAAAATCAAAGATACTTATAAAATTAAAGGCATAGGAGCTTTGCTTCTTTTGCATATTGTACATTCTTTATGTCTTATTTTACATCATGATGTATTACATACCACTTTTTCTTTCAAATATTATACAAACTAAATTTTAGCATCTTTGTTCCTTTCTTCCAGATCTGATGAATCTTTGGCAAGCTTGAACAACTCCCTACAGACTATTTTAGATGATTTGTCCAGTTTGTTTAACACTAGCGAGAGTGTAGTTCTGAATATAGACAGTGTAGAATTTACATCCTCTGGTCAACTAATACTGAAATCTTTACATTATGCCTGTGATGAAGGTTATTCGTTCTATCGGGATTTCTGTGGTAAGTGGAGGTGCTAGATCACCCTGTCTATACAGTCTAATACTTTCTTGCTCTGGCCTCAGACTTCATGATTTTCAAAAGCGGTTTTCTAGCCTTTTCAATGGCTACGCTCTGGTAAATGTGTTTGTATTGTCCATATTTGTTCATTTTCATTTCTATCTAAGAAACAGTCTGTTGGTGCTGACAGGGTATTTCTGGGCTCTGAAAGTTTTACCAAGTCCACAGATTAAACCATTTTCATCAACTTGTAATCTGTAATTTGTATTCTAGTGAGAACGGAAATATTAATCAGAGAACCAGCGTTTAGTTTAGAATTACAGCCACTGTCTGTTGGTGCTGACACAGCAGTTCTGGGCTGGGAAAGTTTGACCAAGATAGGGGTAACCTATGTTATAGCTCTTCAGATAGAATACAGAGAAGATAATTACACCGCCTGGAACCAAACAACCAAATTTCAACCCCATGAAACCAGCCACACATTGACAGAGCTCCAAGCAGAGAGCATTTACAGAGCCCGACTGGTAGCTCTAACAAATTTAGGTACTAGACCAATGGTGCCTACTAGAGATCTGGTCTTCAAAACGAAAGCTTATGAAGGTAATTATTAAATTTTAACTATTTTATAATACCTGTACCGGTACCTGTATTGTATACCTGAATACATGTACGTACATGGCATTAATTATCCGAATTGAAGATTGCATCATACTAGCGTCCAATTTCAAGATAACACATGTCAGTGCTTGGGACACATGTGATTTGTAACTCACTAATGAAATTGAATTTTCATATTGGATCACTAGAACGAAACATCTGACTACATTCCAGCCTCTGATATCGGCTACTGCAGAAGCCAAAAAACTGTCAAAATAGCTATCAGAAGCTGGAATCACCAACTGACCTGTAAAAGCTTTATTTTTCAATTCCCATCTTCGTTTATTTTTCAGGTGAATTTTCTCTTTACTTGGAGAATGTTCAGGTTGGCCAAACGTCAGTGACAATAAGATGGCGAAACATACCAAAAGATGAACTTGCAAATATTCAAATGATGGAAATTACATACAACGAAATCAACCGGCCCCTTACAGTGAACACTGTAACAACCAAACCGTCCTTAAATAAATATACCATACCTAGTCTAAAACAGGCTACTAATTATGTAGCTGTTATAACAATTGTATTCAATAATGGAACTCGTGTTCAGTCTGGTACAATCCACTTTATCACTGACTCGTCAGGTAAGGCTTCCTGTTAATTACAGAGCTCCAGTGTGCATGGCAAACAGTTAAAGTTTAAGGGACATTTAGTGGTCTTACCTTACCACACAAGGACTATACTTGTAGATAGTTCAGTAGTCTTCTAAATTGGCATAAATATCACAAATATCATTTCAGATAGGCCTTTCTTTCTTCAGTTTACTCACAGTGTTTCCCGCCAATATATGGGACGTAACTCCATCAAGTTTTTAAATTAAGTTGCCAGAATATTACTATCTAGTACATCACAGTTTTGAGGTGTCGATTTTTCATGAAATTATGAAGCTTGCATATGGTGCAATGTCGTAGAAAATTTGCATTTTCCCATTTAATATTGTTTTCTGTCATAGCAATATATGTTTATAATATCATTTAACTCTACGGTGGTAGATAATAGTTTATGGGAGATAACTCTTTTGTGTTAAGTTGCCAGATTATTTACTATACCATTCTCCTTTTGCTTCCAGATAAGTCATCCAATTTGACAATACCTCTAGCAGTGTCGGCTGTCATCCTTGTATGTGCTATTATTATTGTATCAATAACATGCTGTATGTGGAGAAAAGCCAGATTAAAAAATATAACGGATACAGCTTTTGAGAATAAAGTCTTTGGCGTAAGTAACTTAATGTCAGCATACATAATGATCTTTGTGATGCCAATCGGCTAAAGAACTGAAATATCCTCTGGCACATTTAGGCTACTTCAACTTTACACTCGTGCATTTCTTCGGTGGTAATTTTCACATTGACTTTGTTCGAAAGAGGTATGTATATATTATGATTTTGAGCACTCATAACTTCTATTTGCACTATTCTGGATATCATTTCGCTTTAAGTTAAATAATCTTTAAAGGTGTACAACTCTTCCTTTCAGATTCAAATCCAGAATGAAGGGAGAACATTAAGTGCCAGACCGTGACAAGTTACTAGTCAGTATTCAACGAACATTACCCCGGTGCATTTATTATCATTATCATCTATCAAGGAGTGGATGTATGGATCTAGGAAGACATTGTCTGCGTTTAAAGTAAAGAGAGTAACGAATGTAGAACACATCAAGTCATTGGGTTGAGGTTCTTTGAGTGCACGTCATATTTCCCACATTTAACAGGGGTTTCATAATATTTCATATTAGTATTAAGCTTTGACCATTCTTGGATAGCCAGGAGTATATTTTACTTGTACTATCACATCTTGTCACGTTCGCATTAATGAGACGACTAATATTTCCTTTATGTTATATATTACTTTGAGGAACTATTGATGCTCTCAGTTCTCATCAGCTTGAAGGAGTTTTTGGATTTGATCCCTATCTTATAAAGGTATACAAGTTAGTAAAGCTCATACAAAATTAGACGGAATATCCAACAATTCAACAAACTTAGTATGTTAATTCTATGGTAGCCTACCAAAAATTGCTTACGTGATTTAAAATTTGCTGTTTATATCATATAATATTTAACTTCTTATATTCGCATACTTGTAACTCATCAAATCGCATAAACTTGCAAAAATAATGTAAATTTCTTGAAGTATAATTTCGCCCAATAACATCGTATTAATGTCTTGAAGCTTTAGAGTCTTATATTGGTTATAGACTAATATCTAGAACGTTATTTGTGTTTTGGGGTTTTGTTTTCGTATTTTCGTATATGTTTTTTTATTTTTGTCATAATTTTATAATGTTAATTGACCCGTCCTTCTCTGGTTTAAGCAATTATCTGTTCCAACTGGGAAGTTGAATATGTCCATGATTGTTTCTAAACCGGAAGTGGACATTGCTTATTGGCCTATTTAGCAACAATTTGGATAAAATCACTTCCTGTTTACTGAAAGATAGCGATCTGAATTAATATCAGAATATTGATTGATAACCTTGAACATTACTGAAATTAAGGAAATCTTCTGATCGTAAAAAAGAAAGTTAAATAAAGTTGAGAAAACATCTTTTCCATTTTTGCAAACATAGTTAACCTGAATTTAATTGGAGACGAGAAATTACTATCAGAATGTGGATAGAAATTCTTATTTTTGTGTTTTCAGTACGATACAGCCTGGTCATTTATAGGTTAATTATCAGTATTTAGTGATTGTAATTATTGATTGAATTGTGCATAATAAATTTTTCTTTTTCACAATAACGAGTTTTTATTTCAAGGCTCATTTCATTCACAGCCTACAGTTGGAATATAAGAAAAACAAGACACATTTCTGACATAAGGTGCAATTAAAGATTTTGATTATGTTTAAAATACAGGAGTCCCATCCTAAACAGGCTGGGTGAATTTGTTTTTTGTTTAAAATGGTCATACTATGACGACTGCCTGACAAAATCAACTTTGTTTTAATATTCCATCCATGTCAAAACCACGCACTCTACCAATCCTAATTTTGAAAGGGAATCATATTCATGCAGACAGCGTTTATAAAATGTCTCAGCGGATTCCGTTTTACGTTCTATGACCTATATCCTATTATGACATATACTATTTTTTCAGTTTAGTACAGGTAATGCGTTTTCTTACGCAAGTCATTAACCTTGAACTTTGGAATTCTTTGACGTCAGTAATAAACTGAACACGGAACTAAAATGATAACAAACTTGAAAAAAAAAATCAAACAAAAACACCACTCGTCAAAAATTGGTTGAGGAAATAAGAAGATAATGGTTTAATATGAAGCATGGGTGGATTGATATGTAAACTCATTACGCCGAAGGTAGTTAATCCATTGTAGTCTGAAAACTGTAATGACAGTAAATTGAATTATCTTCAGGTGCACAGACCACGAGAAACTCGACATGTAACATAGTTATATATATATATTATATAGTTATGCATATATGGACCAGCCCATATGAAATGTAATGCACATTGCTGTACAGTGGCGTTTCTAAGAGAAGGAGGAGTTTGGGGGAGGGGGGACCGGAGGCAGAGATGAGGCTGGACGGCCTTAGTCCCCCTCACTTTCAAAATTTTTATCATTTTACATAGTGAAAAAAGGCCTGTGCCCCTCTTGGAAAATTTTGTGTCTCCTGCTTGGCCCCTTCACCTAATGTTTCCTTAATACGCCAATGCTGTTGCAAGATTACCTGAAAGGTAGAAATTAAATATGTCGCTATATCCTCCAGAATATAAATACAGACTTAAATCGAGATAATAACGATTGTAAAATGCACTCTTTTGACCTGTACAGATTTGTTGAATGGTTTCGATTTTCAATTAAAAATCAATTCATAAATCCAGTAAAAGATATCAAATAGTATATGAGTTCATTAGATAATATAATATGTTATAGGGTATATAGATTTACCTCAGTTGTAATAAAACTATTTACTTATCATTTGTTTCTCATACCTGTAAATAAAGGAATTAGTTCTTGTGATGAATTTTCTTTTTCAATTGAATGGTTGATACAGGATTAATGACGTCCTCAATTCTAACCTTGATGATATGAAATTATGGATATTGTGACGTCATATATTCGACAGCTTGACGCAGATTCTGTGAGAAAAGAAAAATTTTAGTTCACTATATTTGCAAGCTGGAACTTTAAAGTTTAACGTTTACTTTTCTTTTTTATTTAACACTATAACGCACCTATTATTATGTTCCTTTCATGTGCATTTCATAAATGTTTATGATGTTAAAGAGAGATTCTTTTTGAGAAAGTAACCTTTAAATTAGAGTACTATAGTAAACTACTTAGTATAAAGATATCTATAGGTATAACAAGTTAATATTTACAGGTGGTAGCTGATTAACAATCTTCAATAATTTCATCAATATACTCTTATCTCCTCCCTTTAGTGCATGATCTTTTAAAAACCAATCCAGTCAAACTAGATGCCAGATTCAGCACTTTATTTTAGTGCAATTTTAAGGAAATTCCTGCTACCATCGAACCAATAAAGTACTTATTCTTTGGTATATGTGAGGTTTAATGAAATCCAGGGGCTAGTTCTATTGCAGTATAGTAAAGTTACTATTGATCCATAATGATTATAAAGGAATATCATCCGTTCGTTTCACCAACACAAACCTGCCATTGCAGTTTAGAATGTGTTCTTTTACTTACTGGCCAGTTACGACCGATCCGATATCATATCACGATATCGAAAAATATCGGAACATGGTAAAAGGCAAATATTTAGACGACAATTGAAAGAGGAACAGTGTAAAATCGAATCGTTTCTCGTACAGAAAATACACTGTTTTTCTCTGAAAACATTTGTTAATAGTGGAACTAAGTGGAATCTAATAAACGTTACTCTATCATATTTACTACTGCCATTAGGTCGTTGAGAGTTAGATAATTGCTCATTTTGTTAAAATGACCCCCATAGATTTCACAGCTGGTTTTCTCCAGGTGAGTTTTTGACAGGTGCCATGACCTAATTGTTTGACCTACATACATGTTTGGAACTGTTCCACATTGTCTCTGTATATATATATAAATTGAAAGTAAAGGTATCAGTTAAAAAAAAACAACGTATACATTTGCGACATTTGAAAGCCTTATAAGGAACAGGTTGTGGTCATAGTCATGAAAACTCAATGCACATATCGGGTGCTCTACCCCAGACCCTTATTTTACTAGATATATACATCATCAAGAAGCTGAATCACGTAGTAGTCATTCTCATTGCAGTAAATATCTAGGCTTATACTTCCGGTTAAGTTGTAGGCCGAACAGTTTTATCACTGGATCAATTATCACGTTAGTAAATTAGGTTTTAGATTCAAGGATACTGTTTACTTTGTTTGTAATTTGAAGAAAATCAGTTCAGAAACAATGACGTCAGTGGAATACCCCCTAGTTGTTTCGCGCCATTTTATCAGACTATTTCACATTGTCATGATGAATAAAGTAGGTTTATTATCAAGTATAGGCATTAAACTATGAATTATATTGTCTGTGGTGGTATATAGGAGGGACAGGTGAGATTTCATCATTAACTTTTATCTATATTAGCCTAATACCACTTATATTGTTTATCACTTGTCTGTCAAAGGGTGGATTCGATACACCGTTCCTCCCCTTCCCGACGAATGGACCACAAATTTAGCTTCGTTTGCTAGGTGATTATTATTGTCAATGTGAAGTATGAATTGGTTGATATTATGCACTTTATTAACTGTAACAATTTGGAGCCTTCCATACTTGTGATCTGCTTGATAAAATATTACTATCCAGTGATTGATTTCTACTAAATACTTCAGGATGCTCTGTGTCATGTGGCAAATCAAATTTCTTAATAAGTAAGTGGGAAAAGATACTGAATCCCTCACAGCGTTTGACCGTTCGTTCATACCATACAGGAGAATAAATGATTGGACATGAAGACAAATTACACCAACCAGGTGATCATTTATCAACTGATAAAATACTGGACTGTTTTCTTTTTACTATTCAGGTCACAACTAATTCTCTCAAAATCAAAACAAGCCACTCTCAACAGTGGTTATGAACCCATCCCGTAGTTTCCGGACATTACAGACCTGTCTACCCCACCGATTAGATTTAATTGGGTGACAAATCCACTCCACACGGATCTGATAAGAGAGGACCCTACCCGTAAAGGGTGCTCTGGGGATTGGAGGTGCAAAAATTTAAGAAAGGGTATAAAAAAATATTGTACAGGATCTGGGGTCTTGCAGTGCAGAGACTGAAAAATGCCATCCTTTAACTAAATAGATAGACTTGCAGGAGCTGTATAAGAGTGGGCCTCTTTCAGACAATAGGTGCAGAAGTTGATACAGAAGACGTCATTGCACGATAGGAAAATAAGGTTAAGTGCATTGGCTAAAGTGATATAGGCTTGTCTGTTTTTTTTGCTCGATATCAGTGTATTCAACATAATATCTTGCTGTAGAAAACTCATATAATTATCTCCCAGTTTTTTTAATTTTTTTTTTATATATGAACAGGTTGTAGTCCAGAAGATCGGTATAAAGGATGTTGATTTACAGAGGACGATCTGTTAATATTGGGCGATACAAAAAACCTTCTATGACAAAACGTAGAAATGGAATTCCATAAAGCAATGTTCCGTTTGAGAATATGGTTTCTACCATTTAATCCCAATTAAAAGAGATCCGGCATTATCCTGTCGATGTAAAGAATCGGTGACTATGTCCTCGCTCTGTTTCTATACCACGAAAGGTCATCCACCACCATGTTGTAGCGTAAATCTAAAGTCTAATGAAAGTTA